ATGCCCAATAACCCTCAGCCAAGGTGAGGGTTGTGGGGCCTGACACAAGTTCATACTATCCTACAGTGGCCCTTGAATGGCAGGTATTTGTGAATTATGTCTAGATACATAATAATTCATACTTTTTAGAGTCAACAAGCTCTTGTAAGAAGAACAGTACATTTCTTCATGCAACGTGTGATCATTTCATTTTACAAAATTGACTTTCCACATCTAGCTAAAGAGTTCTGCTGAGGATGAAGAAAATATGAGGAAACCCAGCCCTTGTGGTGCTGCTCTGACTAGAGCTGGCTGGGGTTGTCAATTCTTGTTTTGGACATTCCTGGAGATTTGGGGGTGGAACCTTGGAAGGGCAGGCTCAGGGGAGTGGAGGGACCTCAGCAAGGTATGATGACATAGCGTCCACTTTCCAAGCAGCCATTTTCTCCAGACAAACTGAGATCTGCAGTCTGGAGTTCAGTTGTAATTCTGGGAGATCTCCAGACCCCTTCTGCAGGTTGGCAATCCTACCCAAAGACTTGTTTTAGTTTCATTTTGGCTTTTGTTATTGTCAAAAAGCATCTCTGGGAGTGTTTTTGATAGCCCCCTCAAAAATGTGCTTACTTTTCTTCCAAGTATAGGACACTAGTGGGAAGTGTCCAAAACACCCCCAAAGTCTGGCATTTAAGGCTCCAGGAAACTCCGTAATCCCTGACCTAGCCCAAAAGTAATAGTATCTGATTCCATTCTTCGTGGTTCATGCAATTTTTAAAAAGATATTCCGGCATAAACCTTACTCCAACCCATGTGTCTGGGAACAGCCTTACTCTGTAGCCCTTCCTACAAGTTTGTAAGCTTTACACACATATAATGTATAAGCTTCAGCTCAGTTGTACTGGGGAGATTCTCCCTGAGTCAGACAAGCTCAGGGACTGCACAGCTTCCTTGTTCCCACGGTTTGGGAGCTTCCCTGAGCTGTTGTCTGAGGACTTTAACTCGGGGACTATAGAATTCCCTGGTGCTTAAAAAGCAATTGGGGGGGGGGGGATATTCTGTCTGAGTTTCTGATTCATGCCACAAGATTTTTGCTCAATTTGCTTAACAATTTGATGATAAATTCTCTTTAACTGAACATGCAAATTTAGACATGAGGCACATGCAAAACTCAGCTCATCTCTAACTTTAATTGAACACTATTCCCCCTTGTTTCCATTTCACCCATTATACAGTACCTAAATTTTCCAACTTATCTGTGGAATGCTACTGTGCATTAGTGACAAGTGGGAAATCACAATGTGGGAAAGGATGCTCATAAACATAATCGCAAATGAGAGTGAGGAATAGTGAATCAAATGCTTAGCCTCAAAGGAGGCTATTAAACACAATCTGTTAATTCCCTTGCAAGAAATCGATAGATGAGATGAAGATGGTGAAACTATTTTATGCATTTAGAAAACAATTTGTAATGTGCTTCCTATAATTTTTCCATTTATGTGGAACATGCAAGTTAAATAGTGATCTCAGATGTCTGAAGAAAATACGTTATTTTTTTTAAAAAGTAGGGAAAACATGGGAAATAAATGGATTTTGGTTACTCAGCATCAGTCTATCTATTTATCAAACTATTGATCTCATTGACCTCTATATGTTACCAGTAATAAGATATGTGTACACAAATTTATACATATACACACAATTATATTGTCTGTGTATGTATAAATCAAATATTTATAAAACACATATACAGGTATGTATGTACTGTGGATATATACACTACTTATGTAAACACATATATATAACATATATATATGATTGTGGCATAGTCAAGAAAGGTTTTCACTTTATTAATAAGCCTAATTGTCATATTTGCTCAGTGTTGAATGTTTAGCTGAAGCCATAAGCATGACAACTATGTACAGAATAACCTTTCTCTCCCTCTTTGAATCTATTTCTTTTTTAAATCATCTTGTCACTTTCCTTTATGTACATCCAACTTGAATGAATAAATGCAAATGTTGCTTTTATAGTAGTTAACACCTTTCCTACAATGATGGAAGCTTTTATTCACTAAGGTCCACATTTGCAGTACAGGCCAAGCTTTATCCACACTGTACAGAACTCTGGCTGTAAAGAACAATTTGGTCCTTTAACACAGACATATGGTTATGCTACAGTACACTATATAATAATACAGTATTTTTAATGACTCTACTATGCTTTTCCAGGAAACAAACAAGAAAACCCATGTGGTCAAATTATACATTTCTTTTGGTATACAGTCCTTCCTCATCCATACAATATACATGGTTACTTTCAAGATGAGACAATCTCAAAAACATGTACTGTTAGATAAAAAATTAAGATTTTGAGAAATGACTATGAGACATAGGGATCTGAACAGATGCACCTCTTGCTGATCTCCGACATGTTGAATTTTTATTTTACACATTTCTCACACATTGGAAATGGACTTGAATAATGCTTTTAAATAAAAGGCCAGACAAATAAATAAATAAATAAATAAATAAATAAGACCTTGAAGATAATGGGTAAGACAACGTGTAATACTTTTTGCTCTCTACTTAAATTCTCCCCCGCCATCACTGATATAATCTTCAAAGTCCATTTTATATTAATCATCATTTGTCATTTAAAAAAATACTGGTCAAAGCTTACTTAGCAACTGATATATATGGCTTTAGAGTTACATTGTTATACGTATTGTTCACCAACTTTTGTCAATGACATCAGAGAGTCCAACATCACTTTTTAACATTAACTATTTTAATCTAGATTTTGAAAAAAGGTCAATACCTTTCCAAACCATTAAGGGGAAAAGAAAGTACCTTACTCAATAAGAAATGCAAGCAAAACACATATTAGCTAAATGTATACAGTTAGAAAAATAAATGCTTAACTTCTTAAATGAAATGACAATAACAATATACTGATTTCCTTTTTTTGTTTTGTGTTATTAAAACTCTCAATCTTTTTTTGCAGCACCCTAACCCTCAGAGGGATAAAAAGGGGTTTGATTTGATCTCATCATTAAGGATTTATTTTAAAAAATGACCTGACATGTAAATGTAAAACCTTTCACATCTACTTGAAAAAATAGTTATCTATACCATGAGCTGGTCTTCTTCGTTCTATCAGCCATGCTGTATATGTAACCTCTAGCTAGGAATGGAATGAGCCAGGAAGGGGTGGGGCCTCCAGATGCAGAAGTCTGCAGACTGTGGAAAGCAAGGGAGGGAAGCAAGACTGCCCTGCTGGGGAGCTTGAACCTTAATCATAGGCTCTTAACACCTTGTTTAAAGTAACTATGATTTATGGTAAGGGAGGGAGACTTTTGTTCTAAATTGTAAATTTCTGAAATATTGTTTCAGGGCTGTGTTATCTAATGGGGAGTTCATTTGGGACCCTCATCTTCTAAGTCAGTGCACAGTGTTCAGCTGGAGACTTCCTGGGCCACCAGCAAGAGGAAAGAGATGGACTTTGGGGACAGCAAGCTGTGAAGGAAGGAAAAATTAATTGTTTGGACTTTAAAAGGCATTGTCTTGTTGTGTTACTAAGATCTATGTTTTCCTTACATGATATGCTGTTAAGTGAAAAGTAAAAATATTTTATTCTCTTTGAATTATTGCAAGATTCATTCCAAGTTCTGCCCCACAGAACCCATAAACTGAGGTTACACATACACGCAATATCAGCCTTAAATCAAATTAAAAAGAAAACACATGATGGCTAGGAATATACCCACTTGATCAACCAGAAACTGATGCTAAACTCAGGTTTGTAAAGTTCTATCAAGTCATCACCATAGAGTGAACTTCTCTCTTCTCTAGGATCTTCTTGGGTATCTTATCTCACACATCATACTGTTGGACTAGCCTATAGCATCTGTTGCATCTGCAACAATGTAAGCATGTTTGAATGCATCTAACAACCTCCTCTACAACTAAATCTAGGTTTTCCTTCATGAGTTTGGTTGTATAATGAGATGAGCATCTGTTTTCAGCACAAAGGGTATTAATAGACAGAGACCATGCTGGGTTTGGTTTGCACAGTGGGGTGAAAAGGGGAATAGAAAGAGAAAAAAAGAAGGGGCATGCTGTTAAAACAGCATCATAAAGGATTAGCTTCCCTCCATATCTATGGCTGTCCTCTCTCACCAAAGCCTTCATGTTTTCGGAAATGGCCCTGGAAATACACTGCACTTTAATCCCAACTTGTGCTAGCAGTGCCAAAGTCTCACTAGAGAAGACATGTAACGGTGGTATCACAAATCCCTCTGGTGAAACAAGTTGGGGGGGGAAGGGTCCTGGTTGAACATTTTGGGCAATGTTGGCAACACATTTTGTTCTTTGAAACAAACCATATCAACACATCTATAAATGTAAAAATGCGAACCAAATTTGTACTTAGAAGTCCCTTTTCTCCTCTGAACATTTCTCAGTAGAAATCACTGTATTCTTTCCCTTTCCCCAAATAATTTCATTACATGTTAAAGTGGTATGTTGGATGCCATCTGATCCTATAATTTCTCCGTACAGTGCATTATACAATATGCTGATTTATTTCTCTCTGGCTTGATCTCAGCTAGAAAAAAATTTCCCATAGAGAATGCCAGTCTTCCGCTTTCCACCCAGATGCCAAAGCAAATGAAGTAGAGGTGAATCCATAGAAGCTCCAGATATCCGAACAGAAGTCACAAAGTCAATTTTTCCCTTTTTATCCAGATCAAAGGCATAAATACAAGGCATTGTTAGTTGTGATGGGCAAAACTGAGTGTCTGTTGATGTAACAGGTCAGGTTTTTAAGGCCTTTGTCTATGCAGAGTTATAATAATGCAGAAGCCAGATTGAATACAAATTGAGGGGAAAAATAGAGAAACAGAAAGAATGAAGGAGAGAAGAGATACATTTCAATAATGTCACTACTGTGTCTACAGAGGGAGAAATGCACACAGCTTGCCCTTTGAAAGCTTCTCCATGTCCTTGTTTTTAATACTGTCAGAGGTAAGAACACATTTTAATGGAGTTTAGTGGCAACTGAACACATTCGTTCATGCACTCCATGAGGAAGTGCTGGGAGTTTCTAGCCTAGAATATCCAGGTAGACCGGAGAGGCCTTGGCCAAGTTCTGAAGGAGGGAGTGGATTTCTTTGATGTTGAGCCTCATATGAGGCTCCCGCTGCCAACAACCCAGCATCAGATCATACACTTCCTTTGGGCATGTACGAGGTCGCTGCAGGACTCTGCCCTGAGTGATGCACTCGATTACCTGGAGAAAGAAAGAAGACAGCCAATGGATTTATTCTTTTATTGAGCATTTAGGCAGAGTTAATCAATAAACTGTGATATAGGCACCTTGTTTTCAGTTTATATTTGACTAACACTTCAGCTCCAATTTCCCTACTAAAGCTCTGACTTTGTCAAATAGAAGTGAATGTCTGGACCTAAATGGGTGGGATTATCTCTGGATTAAAATCTATCCTTGGAAAGTTAACCACCATAGCCTGACTCTGGGCTTTAATAGATGTATCACGCACCTCATTGTTTGAGAGCTGGTACCATGGCTGCTTGCCGTAAGTAAAGATTTCCCATAAAACAACTCCAAGACTCCAGACGTCACTTTCAGTGGTGAATTTTCTGTACATGATACTTTCAGGTGGCATCCAACGAATGGGTAACATGGTATGTCCACCAACCTAGATAGAAGAATTGTAAAGAAGTTAGATGGCTTCTTGAGGAAGAAATATGTAGAAAAGGGATATTATATTATCTGCCTTGGGGGGATTTTACAGTATAATATCTTAAATTTACACTTCTTTTTTCATAATTCCTTGTGCAACCCTCATTATCTTCCTCAGCAGTGTGAAGTTATCTGCGTTCATGTATAAGTGGTTTGCTATCTACCTTTGCTGTGACAAGTATCAGGGGAGTCTAGCAGTTCAACCAAGGGTTTATGAAGGATTTTCTTCCAGATGAGTATCAGAATTTAATTATTGTGTAGTCCACACATCAAATCCAGGGCATGCAATTACATTGACTACTGGTGCTAACGATTTATTTCTGTAAAACATTCCTGTATTCATTTAAGGATGTCCAGGAAAATTTATTGCCAACTATGACTCTCTACTGATTTCACTAATGCTAAGGTAGATGGTCAACAGTGCAATTCTAAACAGAGTTACACCCTTCTAAAACCAATGGATCCTGGGTTCAATCCCTGACATCTCCAGTTAAAGGATCAGGTAGTAGGTTGTAAAAGACCGATGTTCTATGCCTCCAGGAAACACACAAGAAAAAAAAAGACAGCAAGCCATTACTAAATGACGCGGCCTGGGAGATAATAGCAGAAGCCAGAAATGATACTAAGAGCAAAGGAGTAGTGGTACTGATTCATAAGAAACTTAAAATAGAAGAAGTGGGGAAATGGTGGATAGGGACGGTAGATATGTGCTAGTAAATTTTAAAATAGAAGGTAAGAAGTTTACAATAGTAAATATATACGCCCCAAATAAAGGCCAAAAGAAATCCCTAAGTAGAATATTAAAAAAATTAACAATTTGCAGAGGGAGAAATTATTATAGCAGGTGATCTAAATATAGATATAACAAAAGATAAATCAATTAGGCTGGGAAATTGGGGACTGATAGATGTACACGATCTGATAGGGCACCAGCCCAAGCCCACACATATATCCAGCAGATATAAAACAGTATCATGTATAGATTATATAATTGTAGAAAAGAATACTAATATGACTATCAAAGGAATCACAACCCATCCAATCTGGATATCTGACCATGCTCCAATAAGTGCTGAAGTAGAACTAAACCAACAGCCAATAAAAAGAACCTGGAGGTATAACAATTTAATAATGGCTACAGAAAGAGACAGACAATATATGACTGAGCAAATAAGGTTGTATTTTGAGGAAAATAGAGGAACGGTTCCCACTAATACCCTATGGGATGCTGCAAAGGCAGTGATAAGGGGGCATTGTATAAAGAAAGAGAAGAAATAAAATTGGACGTCTATAAAGCTTTTGATACCCTATCCCAGGACTATTTGTGGCAGATAATGAGAAAGTATGAGATGGGGGATATTTACATAAGAGCAATCCAAGAGATATACAAGGATGGAACAGCTGTGGTAAAGGTTAACAATGACCAATCAAGAACCTTCCAGATTCAGAGAGGGGTTCGGCAGGGATGTCCGCTCTCACTGCTTCTTTTTATCATAGCAATAGAACAGCTAGTAGAAAGAATAAGAAATAGTGTAAGGATAGAAGGTTATAAGGTGAGGAAGGAAGAAATGAAAATTAATCTATTCGCAGACGACATTATAGTCATCATGACAAACCCTAAAAGAAGTAAAAATTACATTAGAGGATTTTGAAGGCTGTTCAGGTTTAAGAGTCAACATGGCTAAATCAGAAATTATGCATCTTAATGTGAGTAAAGAGGGAAAAAAAGAAATAAATAAAATCACAAGCATGGGAATGGGCACTAAAAAGCTCAAATATTTAGGTATAGTATTACAAAAGAATATTGATAGAATTTCGGAACTTAACTACAACATGATATGGAAGAAAATTGAGAAGGAAATGGGGAAGTGGATAAATAAAACCTTAGGTATATTCACTAGAATTAGGAGCTTCAAAATGTTTTGAATACCAAAATTAATATACCTATTTCAGTCGATACCACTAGGGACCAATATTAACAGACTAGAACAATGGAATAAGAAGGTTAGAGAGTGGATATTCAGCAGCAAAAAATGTAGAACTAAAAAAAGGCTGGTGTATAGTCATAAGGTGGAGTTGGGTTGGGGAGTCCCCAAGTTGAGGAGCTATTATGAAGCTTTTCAAGTCAAGCAGTTATTAGAGATAGGTGAAGGTAAGGAGCACAAATGGGTCAGATTTGAGAATGAGGTCAATAACAACATAGGGCGATTTGGGATCTTCTGTAGAGCTACCGGAAAAGACCTTAAATCAATTAAAGGACCCAGACATTCAGCACTAGAAGCCTGGAGTAAATGGCAGCCCACATGGTTAAGAAGGAACTCAAGATGGGCACCAGTAAAGTCCATCCATAGCGAAATAAGCAAAAATAAATGGTGGCAGTTGCTAAGATCTAAAGGGTATTATAGATTGGGAGACATGTTTAGGCAAGGCAATCTCAAACCGGTATATGAAATAGTCGAAGAAATAGGTAAGCAACATTGGCTTAAAATAACAGCACTTCATAGTATGGTAAAAAAAGATTAACGATAAAGAAGAAATCTGGTCAGAGGAACCAATAGAAAAAATATACAAAGGGATGCAAAAGTCAAAACAAGGACTAGCAGGGAAAATTTACAGGACAATGATATCAGATAAAGATAAGACAATAACCTATTTACAAAAAACTTGGATGAAAGAAGGTCAGATAACCTAGAATGGATACTAACAGAAGGAAGAAAAGACATTCAGTGCAAGATTCGGACTTTGTGCCTGTGGCTGGGATTAAAGGACTAGTGAACTGGAATAGCGAGGGAAGGGCGGGGGGAGGGAGAGGGTTTATAAAGCGATATGTAATGTACGGGACAAAAGTTAATATGTAATACACACAAAATGTTAAATAAAAAATAAAGATTTTTTTTTTTTTAAAGGTGCCACTGGACTCAAACTTTGTTCTGCTGTTTCAGACCAACACGGCTACCCACCTGCATCTATCTTTTTGACTTACAGACTACCTGTTTCTTTCTGAATAGAATATGTGAATATGGCAACAAACAGCAGAACATGAGGCACTACTGCACAAGCTTTGCTCTAAAGTACAATAAAGACCCCTACATCTTACAAACAAATGCACAAACATTTGTTATTTTTCTCTTTCTTTTTATTTATGCTTGCTTTATTTAAATTGGCCATGGCATATTACAGCAACGACTAGAAGCCTGTCACCAAAGAATTGCCCAATTAGTTCAAATCAATAGGTGAAATGCCCAGATCATACACCCAGAGCTCCTTGGCCTCACTTTTCAGGGCTGCTAAGTCACAATGTTGCAGTGTCAGCAGAAGCCATAACTGGCAGAATTCTTCTTTTCTGACAGCCCTACAGGATCTAAAGGCTTGAGTAACTCAATCTCCCCATTCATTACTTTCACACATCTGGGATCCAACATGTCAAACAGACCACTACTGTTCTGTTATATTCTTAAGAGTTTAGAAAGCCTGCAGAGCTTCCAGAGCACTTTATGTATTTATACATATTAACAATGCATTAAAAACATCTCTGAATTATTATGAACCACCAATGGCTGAGGTAAGTTTGGGAAATACAGTGTTAATATGCATATCAGACGCAAACAAGGATTCGGTTTCTGACCTTTGCTCTAAGATGAGCTGATAAGGCAAACTGCTCCCCTCCACCGCATTTACTCAGTGGGAGAATAATCATTCATTAGAAAGTAAAACACATTAGACCCTCAGAAATATGTGGCTATGCACCAGCCCAAAGGGCAAGTGCCATTAAAATGTTATTAGTTGTTAGAGGCTTTTGGTTCATTAAATATTAAGCAGCCCTTAAACCTGTTCATCATATGGTATCTACCACTGACTTGATTCAGTGGGGTTTTATGATACAGTCTTTAAAAAATTAATGAAAACTGTGGTTGTAAAATATGGCCCCATCTTTTATTATAGTTTTATTATGATTTAAGTTTTCCACTGTCATTATGAAAAATGTAAAAGTCTATAAGAAAAAATGCATTTCCTTTCCCTTACTAGCCTTCCTATAGTTCCTTACAGTTTCCCTGATTGCCATACTCACAGGGGTATCAAAATAACCACTTCCACAACAGATGAAATGATAAAGTGCCTATTAGAGCACCTGTGGGTGTTTCACTCATGTTCCATTCCACTATTCCAATGGTAACTTCCAGCTGAATGAGGTGCATACAACATGAGCCTCCATGTACTTGGTAAACTGAATAATTTTCTAGAGCTCAAACACTGGTCTGTTTCACATTTGTTCTAAACTCAGTTCCTATGATAAGATCAATGAGAAACAATTCCCAAAAAGTCTAAGAAGTGTCCAGATTTGCTGAACCAGAAATAGTACCGTATTTTCCGGCGTATAAGACGACTGGGCATATAAGACGACCCCCAACTTTTCCAGTTAAAATATAGAGTTTTCCCGTTAAAATATAGAGCTGTGCTGATGCTTCTGGCGTACCGGCGTATAAGACGACCCCCCACTTCTGAGAAGATTTCCCTGGGTTAAAAAGTAGTCTTATACGCAGGAAAATATGGTACTAGGTAAATTTATGTTTTTGGTTGTAAGCCTCATGCAAAAATATGCACTGGGGAGCTGACATTGTGGGCATACAATGGCAAATATGCAAAATCTGTGAAAAAGTCCTTTGAGAGGTTAAGCAAAATAATCACTTTCCCTGAGCAGTCTACATAATGACTGTGCATCTAGTTGTCTCTTAATCCGATTGATTAAAGACATTAAGAATGATAAACCTTTTGTGCAGGCCTTTTAGGAATGGAATGGCTACATTTCAGCTACTACCAATCAATTATTGCTCTTTGGATGCATCTACAATATGGGCATTAAAAAAGCAGGTCCATTAGATGTTGTGGAGGTAGGAAAGGAGAAGAGATATACAGGTTGTTATGATTTCTGCAATACTGTCATCTTCTCCAGAGGCA